TATAAATCAAATCAAATATAATATAATATAATTTTATAAATTTTTAAATATTTAAATACAAAACATAAAATATATTAAGTATGTTTATTTATTGAATAAAAGATATTATATAATTAAAATCAAAAATATTGATATTTTTTTTTTTTTGTAAATAAAATTTTATAATATCATTTTTATAAATATTTATATTAAATTAACTATAATTATATTTCGTTTATTAAAAAATATATAGTTATCTTAGTAGTGTTTTTAATTATAATATATATTATTATCAAAATATTTAATTTTTTTTTTGGGGTAAAATTTAATAATTAGTTTAAACAATTAAATTATATAAAAATGTTTTAGATTTTTTCAATTATTATTAAGATTATAAAATAGTTTTTTTTTATTATTTATATCAATTAATTTAAATTTAAGTAAAATAAATTTTATATTAATAGAATTTTATATTAAATAAAAAATAAAAAGATTTGCAATTAATTTTTTTTTTTAATATAAAACAATGTTATATTATTAAATATTAATTATATAATTTTTTGTTTTTTTATAAATATTTACCAAAAAAGGATATAAAAAAAAAAGAGACAGAGAAAATGTCAAATAAGTTAACTGAAATTAATTAATCTATAGTATTTTATTCCTGGTGTATTTTAATTGCAGTCCAAATACCGTATTTCGGTATAACAACAGGCATAGTAAAGTCCGGTTTTTCAATTTACGAATTAATAATTCCAATAATTCTGGAAATATCAATTAATATAATATTTCTATTGGACTATATATTAAAATAATAAAAAAAAGAACAAAACCTAATTGATATAATAAGTGGTCCAATAAGTTTAATTATAGACCTAATAAATATAATTATATATTAAAAAATAAACATAATATCTTCGATTTTTCGAGTTTGTAAAGCTTTTGAATTTCAACAAATATAAATTGTATTTAAAAAAGTAATTTAAATAATTCCGAAAGTAATAGATATGTTTTTATGTCTTTTTTTTGTTTTTTATTTATTTACATATATAGCTACATATATGTACGGTCCTCTTTTTTATGAAAAATACTATTTTAATGACATAAGCTTTGCATTTTTTACTATGTTATAAATAATGACTATGGACGGCTGGGGTTAAATTGGTAGAGAAGTTCTCTAATAAAGAAATATGATAAGTGCTTCTTTTTTTATTGTTTTTGTATTTATTTAAGCTTAATTTTTGTGGAATATTTTAATTGGATTTATTTTGGATATTTTAAGGTAATTAGAAGAAGAGAAAAATTAATAATTTTTAGGGATCTAAGCTAGTTTGAAAAATGTTAATAAAAATTAGAAAATTTCTTTTATCGAAAAAATATGCTTTGGAAAAATCTATAATAAAATTGTTATTTTTATTTATTTAATTTTATTTTTTAATACTTTTTCTTAAAAAGAATTGGCAAATATTTAAGGCTTTTTTTCCATTTTTTTGCATATTTTTACTGATTTTTTATATACTGTGCATGTCTTAACTATATTTATGAAAAAAAACGGTGGAAAAAAATTTGAAATGGAAAAAAAACACTTTTATATGATGCTTTTTCATTTCTTAAGTGGTCCAATTAGTCTTTTTTGTGATTTATATAGTATTTAATATACCCAAAGTATTGGATTTGGGGGTATTTTGAAACTTTTTAAGGTGTTTACAGTAACTAGGGAGATTATAATGGGAGCTATATTGGTATTTCCGGTACTTTTGCCTACATTTTTGGGTATAATATCTATCATATTTATATTAGCGATTTGGGGAGTATGTTTTCTATAAAATGTTTATGAATTAAATATATGGGCGGATTTTAATATGAGTGTATATACATTTGTTTAGATTTTAACTTTGGATGATTGGTGTGCAAAAATAATTAGAATTTTAGTAAGAGAAGGAAGATATTTGACTCCTATTGTTTTCGTTGGGTTTATTTTTTTAGCTAATTATTTTTTTTTGAACATTATGGTAGCTTTTTCATGTGAAAACTTCAGGAAAATCTCTAATGAAGAATTCGTTTATGGAAATATGGAAAAAAAAGAAGGTTTTTTTGATAAAAAATAAGAGTTTATTATTGATTAATTTAATGATGTTTGTGATGATTTAGGAAAAATTATGGAAAAGGAAAGTTCTTTTTTCTCTAAAAAAGTTTAGAAATTAAGATAGATTACAGAAAGGGAAGAAAAAGATGAAACTGAAGTAATTTTAAAGTTACTTTCGGGAGATTTTTAATAGATAGAAGTTTAATTTTAGGGAGAAAGTGTGAAAATTTCAAAGGAAGAAGTTTAATAATTTATTTATTTTAATTTATACTGAAATTTATATTTTTAATGTTTTTTTGTTTTGTTTTATTTTAATTTTTATAATATTTATTGCCATTTTTAAAGTATTTATCGTTTTATTTTTATTTTTATTAATATTTTTTAGTTTTTATTTTTTTATTCTTATATTAGTAAAAATTTTATAATAATTAATTTTTTTTTTATTTTTTTTATCAAGAATTAATAATTAAATATGATTTTGGACGCAAGAATAGCTAAATGTATTAGTTTAAAAAATTAAATAAAATAGCATATAATATTAAAATCTAATAAGAATTAAAGTACATAAATAAAGAATTTTATAGTAGAAAATATTCGATTAAAGGATTTAATAAAGAAAAGATATTAATCTAATTAGTAAATTAAATAATAAAATCATGTTTCGACATAAACATCATATTAAAATTTAATGTAAAGAAATAAAAAATAATAAAAAAATTAAAAAAATAGAAAAAAAAAGCACATATCAAGACTAAATATAAAATAAATAAACAGAAAATACTTAAAATATTGTGTTTATTTAGAATAAATAATTTTAATCTTTATAAAAATATACATAATCTTAATTTGATATAAATTAGAGTATTTAGGGAATTAATAAAAAAAATATTAAATAAATAGAACTTTACAAAAAATATAGAAGAAATAATGATTAGTTAAAAAATTAAATAGTTTATGATTCAGATTTTAAATTTTGTAAATAAAATATGAAAACTTAAGAAAAAGAATTCAAAATTAATTTTTTTAAAGGAAATTTTCATAATCATCAAGAAATAAATAATAAATAAATAAAATAATTAAAAGAAAATAATAATTTATTTAAGAATTAAAATTAAATTAATAAAAGAAGATAAAAATTATTATATGATAATAATTAAATTTAAGAAAGTAAATATAAAAGCAATTCTTTATATTATTATACTATTAATTAATAAAAATCATCAATGATATTAAAATAATAAAAAAATAAATTACTTAATTTATCTTCTTAGATTTAATAAAAATATAATTAAAAATATGATATGTAAATATTATATTAATGAATAATATTAAGATTTTTTTTTTAAAAAAAAAATATTTAATGGTATATATATTAAAAAAAAATTAATTTTATTTATGAATACATAATAATAAATTTAAAATTAATATATAAAATTATAGTATATTATTATATATATATAAATAATATATAAATATATAATTTGTTAATAAAAAAAAAAATTATATAATTATATATTATTTTCGTATAATCAAATATTTATTTTATATATAATAAAGAAAAAATATATATTATTTATATAAATATATATATATATTTTTTATTTTTTTTATTTTTTTCTATATAATTATTCAATTATCTATTTATCAATAATCTTTTATTTTATCTATTATTGGCTTTTATAAAAAGAAATAAGTAAGCAATTTTTAAAATTTAAACTTAATTCCTTTTGTTATTTATAAATATTTTATAGAAACAATATAATTAGACAAAGCAATTAAAGACTAAACAATAATTAGATCTATGAAAAAAGTATAAATATATATTTTAGTCCATTAAATATCTTAATCTTAAGTTATTCCACTAAGATAAGGAATAAATGAATAAATTATTTAAACTAAAGATATTAATAATAAAAATATAATACCAAGTAAACCTTTATTTCTGACAAAAAATTAAATTTATAGAAGGTATTTAGAAACAAATCCTTTCATAAAAATACCAAATATAATACAAACAATAAACATCCAAGTGCCAACCTAATTTATAATATATATATTTTATATATTTATATATATATTTATAATATATATATTTATATAACTGAATATGTCAATTATGAAATAATCAAGAAATTAGCATATTTTATATATAAAATAAATGTCCTTAATATTCTTGATTTTTATTAATCGTATAAAGTTATAATTCCTACTAATTCATTACCAAACTATTAAATTTTTTAATTATTTTTTTTTTAAATTTTTACTATTGTAAAACGAAGTTTTTAATTTAAAAGCATATTTTAATTATTGTTTAAATCTAATACATTATTTTTTTCATATACTTCTTCAACTATTATTTATAAAAAACAAAAATATTTATATATAATATATAAATAAAATTACTCTAATTATAAGTAATCGGATTAAGATTTTAACCATCATTTATAATATCTGTATTGTTTCGATTAATATTAACTTAAGTATTTTAATATTTACTTACATCAACTGCACTAAAAATATTTCCTAAAGCCACTGAAGTTTATTATTTTTAAATATTTACCTTCAAATTCATATCATGTAATTCATCTACTGACCTTAGTGTATTTTTGTTCTTAACTGAATTATCTCCTTCTGCTTTAGAATAATTTGTTTATTAATTAACAGCAGCAAAATTTATATTAGTTTTTTAATATTATTTCTTTAATTTTTGTATAATTCCTTATTACATTTCTTAATTTGTTTATAACTAAGCATTTATTGAAGTTGTTGTAGGTTGTTACATATTTTATTATAAATTATAAGTTTAAGGAACTGATAAATTAATTTTTTATATAGGACTGCTAGCTTATTTGAAGTCGAAAACATTCATTAATTTTTGAGTTTTTTCTTTTGAGTCATTTCTATCTAAATAATTTACATATGAAAACATATAATCATTAACACTGTATGTGATATAAAGACTATAAATATATAAGCCTAATATATTTATTATTTTTTTTATAAGCAATCTTTTTCAGATGGACCTGAGCAACTATATTTACACATAGGATGGCATTTTAAGCAATTTTTTTTTTCCTAAAAGTATTTTTAAAAATCACATTATTCTACACAAGATCCATATTAAATTAACAGTTTTGGGTTTTTACATTAAGTACAATTATTAGACTCAATTTAACAAGTCTAGCATTCTGGGGAACAATTTTGGCATTCTAATTCATTGATATTCCCGAATTAGAATTAAGGGCATGTTTATACACATTTTCCTTCAAGTAAAAAGGTTTGTGGGTAGCATTATGTACAACTATTCTCGTTTTCAGATATGCATTTTTTACAAGATCAGTGACAAGGTAAAAATTTGTTTTCCTTTATAAAAAGGCCATCAGGTTATTCTTCTAAACATTATCCTTAATGTTTTATTGCGTTGGGATAACATCTATTAATTTTTTTTTTATTAATATTATTAATTTTATTTATTATTTTACTCTAAGCATTAATTTGGTAAAGATCCTGTACATGAAAGACATGTTGGATGACACATTTCGCATTTTTTAAATTAAATATTTGATTATGAAGGGAAATAAATATCATCAATAAAATAACCTTGTTAACATTAAGTGCTACATTAATTCTATAAAGGATCAAAAACAAGTTCAAATGCACAAATAAGACAATCCTAATCACTTGGACCTTTACAAGATATGCAATTTACATTACAAGCCACACATTAAGAATTGTTTAAAAGATAAGTGTTTAAAGGACACTCTTATAAACATTGGATTGTTTAAGTTATCATATTATTATATAAATAGGTTCCAGGTATGCATTTTAAACATATGTCTTCTTATTTTTTACATTCTAAACAGGGATTCTAACATTTTTAACAATCTTAAGCTATTTTATTATAAAAAAAACCTTTTGCGCAGGGAATACATTAACTTCCAACTAATTATAGGTCCATTGGACATTTTGTGCATTATATAGAAGTACCTTAACATTCTAAACAAACTGAATTACATTTCTTAATAATATGTATTATTTTTGTTTATAAAATATAATTAAATATATATATTACTTCACAAAGGTTAAAAATTAAGTTACTAAAATAACCTGAATCACATTAATTTACGCATTGTTTTTTTAGTGAATCGAAATATAAGCTGCCAGAACATGATAAACATTCAGAATTACTAGGACCTGAACATGAAGTACATGAAATATCACAATCTTAACATAATAAAAATTCTAATTTAATATATTTATTTTATTAAAATTTAATAAAATAAATAAATATATCAATAAATAATAAAAAAATAGTTTACTAGATTTTGTATCTTAAAATTATCCTAAGGGACAATTTTTTAAACATGAAAAATTACTGAAAAAAAGTCCTTAAATGCAACTTTAATAAATAATAATATAATATATATATATATATATATATATATATATTTATATATATATATATATATATAAAAAAAAATTTTTTTGTTTAATACCTTAAACATTTAAATTCATTTTCACATTAAAGGCATGGTTCTTAACATGGTATACACATTTTAATTCCATTTTTTTATCCTTTATAAAATAAATCATTACAATTTTCCTTACATTCATTTTATTATAAATATTTATCATTTTAACACGAAGTACACTTAGTTGGTGTATCTATGCAAGTTTTACAGACACTTGAATTACAAGGTAAACATTCAGCTCCATTTTTATAAGTTTCTGCTTAACAACTATCCCTACATTTACCATTAAATAAATAATAATTGTCTATACAATTGTTGCATATAACGGGGTTATTATGTTCGCATTTCAGACAATGTATTTCACATTTTCCACATATTTATTATGAATCATCTTTATAATATAATAATGGACAATTTTCGACACATTATTTACTTATTTCATCATAATATTTTCCGATTGTGCAACTATTGCAGTCAGTTGATTCTTTACCATGGCAAGATTTACAAGAAATATGGCATTAAGAACATATATTAGTAATCTAATCTGGATAAGTACCTTTAGGGCAGTTTAAAATGCATTTTTCATCAAATAAAAAAGTCGGTTAACTGCATTAAGTGCATTTAGTAGACGATTTAGAGCATTCCTTACATAAATTGGTATCACATTTTTCACATTTATTTGTTACTTAATTACCAAATTATTATGATGGGCATGTACTAAAGCATTTTCCAGTAAGAATATATTTTTAGGATTAAGGGATTGTATAATTTAAATATAAAGAAATATCACATGCAGTACAATCATCTGCTTTTTAAAAACATTAAAGACAATTAGAACTACAATTCTAAAAATTTAATATATATATATATATATATATATATATATATATATATATTTATATATTTATATATTTATTATTTTATGTATTATATTTAATTTTATAAATTTTTTTTATTTACTTCGCAATTTTATGTTATTGGATTACCATATTAATGATTTCCGCAATCAGTAAGACATTTATTTGCTTTAAAATATTTAGAACCTGAACATTTAGTACATTCATTATCAGATGGACCATTACATAAGTAACATGTATTATGACAATCATCACAAATGTTATTTATATTTCCTTTATTATTTAATTCATTTTTTATCTGTATAAATTATTTACCTGGACCATTTTTTTTATATTTTCTTTCTGGACAACTTGAAATACATTATGTTTAATCTAAAAAAAGAGATTCACTACACCTTTAATAAATACTTTTTATATGAAAAAAAATATCTATTACTTTGTGCATTCTGTTTCTAAAGGACCTATACATTCAGTACATTTAGAATTACAGTTATCACATATATTATTATTAATTTGGTCTTTTTAATAAGTACCTTCTGGGCAATCTCTTAAACAATAATTTTTATAAAAATAATAATCTCCATTACATGAAATGCATTTATTATTTTCTTTTCCGAAACAACTTAAGCATGTAGGATCACAACTATCACATATATTATTATTTAAAGAAATATTTTCAAAATATTATTCTGGGCAATTTTTTATACACTTTCCTTCATACAAAAACAAATCTCCTTTACAAGATAAACATTAATTTATATTTAAAGGGTCACAAGATGTACAATTAGGACCACATTATTGGCACATTTAAGTTGTTTTATCTCCAAAGAAAGTATCTGGACAATTTTCTACACATGTTTTAGTTTTTATGTCCAAAAATAAAATACCTGTGCATTAATTACATTCATTAGCTAAAGGACCAGAACATCCATAACATTTAGTATTACATGATTCACATTTTTAATTCAAAGAATTACTATAGGTACCTAAAGGACATTTACTTCTGCATTTATTTACTGTAAAATCTAAATATAAAGGAGAATTACATTCAGTACATAAAGTTTTAGAATTTAAACATTATTTACAGTTAGAATCGCAGAGCTCACATTTATTATTTAAGGCAAATTAACCAAAAGGACAGTTTTAGACACACTTATTTACGTCTAAATTTAAAAAACCTGTACATTCAGTACATTATGTGTATAGACTTCCATTACATTCTTTACATGTATCATTACATTTCTTTTTTTTTTAATTAAAAAAAAAAATGTTTATCTTTTTACTTAACATTTAAAGTTTGATGAATTTTTAAAATATTATGATGGACAAGTTTATTAACAAGTATTATCAAGGTTTAAATATAAAATTCCACTACAAGTATCACATTAATAAGGTTAATTACCTAAAGAACATGTAGTACATGTTTAATCACAACTATCACAAGTATTAGTAACTTTTATATAAAATAAAATAAAATATATATAATAAAATTATAATTAAAAACTTTAATTTTAAAATTTTTTAGATGAGCAATTATTTTTACATTAACCAACTTCTAAAAATAAATCACCTGAACATCTTTTTTTTAAAAATAAATATAAATATATATGAATATATATATATATATATATATATATATATATATATATATATATATTTATATACATATATTTATATATATTTTTATTTATTTTTATATACTTAGTGCATTCTAAACTAGTTGGTCCATTACATTATTCACAAAAATTATGACATTGACTACATATGTTATTAGTTTTATTTGGATAAAATTTTCCATTACAAGTATATTTACATTATTTGTCTTATAAAAATTTATCTCCTTAACATTCTGTGCAATTATTAATCTCATTATCCTCACACTAGAAGCATGTATCATTACATTTAACGCATATTTTATTTACTATATTTTTAGAATAAGAACTAGGACATGAAGTCAAACAATTTCCATTTAAGAAAAAATAACTAGAATTACACAAAGTACATGTAGAAAGGTTATCACATTAATCACATCCTATTTGACATTTAGAGCATTATAAATCATCCGGATATGTATTGTTTTAATAGTAACCCACAGGACAAGTAAATGAACAGATCTTTGTAATAGGATTAAAATAGCCTGATCCAGGAGAACAACTAGAACAATCGCTTATAGAAGGGCCTACGCAACTTTTGCATTTAGAATTACAAGGTTCACATATACCACTAGTAGAATTTCCATATGTTCCTTTTGAACAATTCGATTTGCAAGTATTATCCTATAAAAATGCTCCAATAGGACAGCTAGTGCATTTTTTAGGAGTTTCCGTACATGTCTTGCAGATCTTAGTATCACAAAATTCGCATTTATTAGTTTTTATCTCGGCGTATTTACCAGAAGGACAGAGATTTGAGGTTACGCATTAGAAATCATTTAAAAAATAAGAACCAGTGCATTTAGTGCATTTTGTATCATTAGTTATACATTCAAAACATGGGGAGGAGCATGGCTAATTTATTATTTATATATATAATTTATATATATATTACTTCACATAGCATAGTGGAAGTATTCCCGTAAAATTTAATAGGGCAAGGATCTTTACATCTTTTATCAATTGAATCATAAAATTTAGTTGAACAGGAATCACATTAATTTTCTAAATTTCCTATAGAACAGGTTTTACATTATGGATTACATGGATCACATGTATTTGTGGCTTTATTTTAAATTTTTATACAGATATATAAATATTTGTTTTTTTACATTTATTTCCATAAAACCCTGGTTAACAAGTATTTACACATTTATTATTTTCTAAAAAAGTAAAACCTGCACATCTAGAATATATTAAAACAAATATATATACAAAAATATATATATATATATATATTTTTATATATTTATATACATATATATTTCATATATATATTATAAATATTATTTTTTTACCCTGTACAATTATTAGCTGTTCCTGAACATTTATCACAAGGATTAGTACAGTTAGAACATAAATTTTTTTAAGTTTAAAAAGTCCCATCTAAACAAGAAGTTAAGCATTAGTTTTTTGTCAATAGAAGAACTCCATTACACTATATACAATTATTATATTAACTTCCATTACAATTAAAACACGTAGATTCACAAGGCGAACATTAATTATTTGAAGTATTTTTATAAAATTAATTTGGACAAGATTATGTACATTATTTTTCATATAAAAAACTATATTTATAAAATTTAATTCTTATTAAAATAAAATTGATATTTACTTTAATCCAGAACAAGATTCACATTATGTATTTGAAGGTCCTGAGCATTTTGTACAAGAAAAATCACAAGGTTAACAAGATTAACCATTTGAATATTAATTTGAGTCACAATTATCAACACATTATTTAGTTAAAGGTTAATATATTTAAGTTGAGCATGTTAGACAATCTTTTGATGTACCTGCTGTGCATGTTTTACATATTGGGTTACATTAAAGACATAAATTTCCTAATTATTTTATTTAAAAATTAAATTATATTTATATTATACCAGTTGAGCTATGATAAAAACCATTAGGACATTTAATTAAACATTAATTTAAATATAAAAAATACTAACCTGTACATTTTGTACATTAATTATAATCTATATTTATATAATTTTTTATAGAGTATATAATAAAATAATTTATTATATTTTACCAGACCCATTACATTAATTACATGTAGAATTACATGGTGTGCATATATTATTTAAATCATTAGGAAAGAATCCTACAGGAGGACAATTAATTATGCATTAATCATTATATAAAAAAGTGCCTGGTTTGCAACTTGTACAACTTACACTATCTCCTAATAAATTTAAATATTATATAGAAATAAATAAGAAAAAAATAAAATATATATATTTATAAATATATATTTATATATATTTATACACATTTATATATATTTATACATATTTATATGCATTTTAATTCTATTTATATTGATTATATTTAAATATTACCTTAATTACATGTCAAGCAAATAGTATTGCATGTCGTACATTACCTCGTTTTATTATCTCCCCAAAAACCATCAGGACATTTAATTACACAATCACTTCCAATTGTAGTACTCCAAAATGCATTTGCATCACATTAATCACATATACCATTTGGACATCTTATGCAATTAGGTTTACACTTTAAAATTAAAAATTATTGATATAAATATTATATATATTATTTTAATTATACTCTATCTAAAATAACAAATAATTCTCTTATTCCATAAAATTCTATCGTTATATTATAAATATGATGAAATTTAAAATTTCATATCAGAAGAAGAGTGCAAAATAGTTTGATCATATTAAAATACTCTTTCGTTATAATATATACTGTTATATTTTCTATATATAGATTATTTTTTTAATATTTTTGGATTAGCAGGAATTTCTTTCCCATCTATTTATATATTAACATAATTTTTATAAAAATACTCATCAATTAAAAAATAGACAAAACCAACTCTTACTTACCAATGAGGTTATCTTTTATTTATATTATTTAAATATGAATATATAATATTTACAAATTTTTAAAATGTTTTAAAATTTTTGCATTCTATCCAGCTATATCCGATCCTACAACTAATAAAGTAGGACCACAATATGAAATTTAAGCAAATCCACCAATTTATTCTGAAAAGAAATTTTGGAAACTTAAATCTAAAGTTTAAATTTCTGATGGCCCAAATTCATTAGTAAATAATCCTTTTAATATATAAATACCATCTTTTTTTATAAATATATTTTAAATTAAATATATAATATTATTTTAATTTATATTTTACTTGTAAATTTATTTACAAAATCTTCACAAATTTGACCTTTAATAACCGTATTAGAAGGACATTTACTTATACATTAATTTTCATATAAAAAAAATCCTTAAGAACAAATTTAACAAGTATTATTATCAATATTACAAGTAATACAATTAACACATTTACTAGTTATACAGTATGTAGAAGTGCTATCAGGTACAAAGCCTGAAGGACAAGAAGGTACACATTCATATTTGTAAGCAACTTTACCATTTTTGCATTTACAAGACCCATTGATTAAAGAAGCATTATTAATACATTAAGTACATTAATTCTTTATGAATATATATATATATATATATATATATATATATATATATATATATATATATATATATATATATATATATATATATACATATATATATATATTTTATATTTACTTATTTATCACTAATACATTATTTGCATGTAGCAAAGCAAGTATCTACGTATAAACTTACGTTTTTTACTGCTACTCCTTCATCATTTTAATCCATTTGGCAATTTATTGTAAGTGTTAATTTACTTGATTTATGTTTTACTTAGTTTTAATAAAGTATTAGTTTATCTCCATAATCAACTTTAAAAAAACTCTAATCATTAGAACATATTTTAATCCCATCAGAAGATGATTTACTATATTTTTCTGATGTATAAATATTATCTATTTATATAGTAACATAATCTACAGGATCTACACTTGAGTAAAGCATAAAATCTAACCTGATATAAACTTAAAAATGAGGCGGTAATTAAGTGTATGTTTTAAAAATCTTAGTTTATTATTTAAAGATACCAAGGACATTTACATACTCTAAATAATGTTAATATTGACAATAATCTAATTAAGAAGGAAACCATCCATCTGATGATGTTAATTTAAAGTCATATAGATCTTATGCAAATAATATTGATTCTTTTTTTAATTAATTGATTTATTTAAATATATTTTATGTTTTTGAAAGAATTATATGTATTTACCAGATTTTATGAGATAGTAATGTAATTTTGTTATAATAATAAATATATAAATAAATAACATTTTTTTTTTTACGGAATTTTTAAAATAGAAAAAATAATATAGAACAAATGAATAAAAATAAATTAAAAATATAAATAATAAAATGAAATAATTAAAAAAAAAATAATATAAAAAATGAATAAAATCTAAAAAAAATATAAAAAAAAAATATAATAAAATTGTATAAAATATACAAAATAATATATGATAAACTAAAATAAAAAAAAAAAATATAAAAAATTATAATAACTTTATAAATTTTATATATTAAATATACTTGATTATATTTAAAAATAATTATTTTTATCTTTTTATAATTTATTTTTAAATTAGTAATATCTATAAAAATTAAATATTTTATTAAATTTAAAATAATCGGAAATATTTTAGTAACTAATATATAATTCATTTCTAAATTTTTCATTATTTTATAAAAATATGCAAAAAGTATAAAAAAATATTTATTTATTCACAAAAATATATATATATATATATATATATTTTTTTTTAAAAAAAAAAATTATTATATTAAATTCAAATAAAATTAAATAATTATTAAAATTAATATTGTATTATATATTTATTATATATCTTATTTTTATTATAATTTATTGTTTTTAATACATATTTTCTTTTTCATTAATGGGAAATAAGTAAAAAAACAAAAAGTAAAAGCAAAGTAAAAATTTTGATCTTTTATATGATTCTATTTAAAATTTATTAATAATAACACATAATAAGTATTAATTTTAAAACAAAAAATAAATAAAAATATATTTTTTCTTAATTTTTAATATTAGTCTAAGGGTATTTAATATTAAAGATATGATCGAATTATCAATATAAATAAAATAATATTAAAACTTAAAAAATTTTTAAATTATAGTAGAGTAAATTAATTATTATAATAAAAGAATATATTTATATAATTTAATAATTATTCAAAAAGAAATTAAGATGTAGACTCATAGTGTATATAAGTTCTTTTCGATTCTCTAAAATATTAAAAATAATTAGTTAAAATATCTTTAAATTTTAAGTATTTAATTATATAAATATTTAACTCCAAAAAAATAAAAATATAACTATATATAATTATGCATTTTTTTATATATATACTAAGAAATAATGAAATTTGTGTTATTGGCTTTAGATAAATTTTTAATATAATTAGACAACTACCAAACTTAAATAATGTAAAATTAGATTTAGAGTAAAAAATTATATAAAGAATTAAAAATAAAACAATATATTAAAAAAATAAAAGAAATAATAAACTTTTCAATAATGCTATAGAAAATTTATTTTTTGGTTTAGATAAAATTAAATCTTTATCTTTAAGTTTAAAGTATAATACTTTTTAAATTTTTTTTTAAAATTAATATACTAATTTTAAAATAAAATAGAGATAATGATATAGATGATGAATGTTGTGAATCTTTTAAATAATTAAAAGAAATGAAATATTTGAAGCATTTATAATTAAATATAGAGTATGAACAAGTTAAATATTTTCTTAGAATAAAATAATAATAATATATATATATATATATATATATATATATATAGATTAATTTAACTGAATGACTAATCTATTCAATTTATAATTAAATAATTTAATCAATAATTGCTTACACTTGATTTTTTTTTTACGTTTTTATTTTATAAAATTTATATTACTTTTTTATTATTAATTATTTTAATTTTTTAACTTATAAAAAGTTGCTTTTATGGAGGGGAATTTTTATTTTAATCAATGGCAGAAATGATATAAGATTTATAAAAATTATAAAAATTAACAATTTGTTGTGAGTAACATTTTTTTAAAAAAATACTAAATTTTATATTCAAAATTAACTAACAAAGTATATAATAAGTTAAAGATAAAGAAATAAACTTAATGATTAGCTCCATTAACGAACACTAAAATTTAATATATTTATCAATATAGTATAAACTTAATTAAATAATTTTAATTTTTTAATATTTATAGTTTTAATACAAATAAATTAAGTATAAAATCTGCTATTTCTATAATGAGAAAATATAGCAAAGTAAATATTTATACAAGTATTAAATTTGGTATCTTTATAGAGTAAAAAATTATTTTC